TCTGGGGCAAAATATCGGAGATAAGTATAGGGACATCTGCAAGAAAACATTTCTACTTAATAAGGTAGCTTAAAAAAATTGACACCCCTCATCACCAATTAACCATACCATCCATACATCAATATCCACAATATCGCTTAGAAGTAGTCAAGTAAATCATCAACGATCAAAGCACCGAATGGAGGTCAAAGAAAATCGAGTGGTGGAAATTAGAAAGCAAGGAAGTTAACAAGTCCAATATGTAGTGGCGAGATTGTGCGGATATTGTCCATCGTCAACAGTGCTCTTATTGTCCAATACAGGGCCAATAACTGTCCAATGTCTCTGTCTACCCAGGGCCAATCTTGTCCTGACTTTCTGTCAACAAGTGATTGAAGGCTAAAACATGTTCTAACCAGTCACAACTGGTCAACTTTAGAGAAAAAAGTGTTTTTCTTTTCATCTGTTACATTTTGTCCAGCACTATGATAAATATATATATAGGAATATTTTATTGGATTATTTTGTAAGCTTCCACTGCTGAAAAATAGATCAAAAATATCGATTGGAAGTTAAAACTTGCAACTACTCTTTCATTTTAATTTAATTTTAACTCGATATTTCCCAAAGCTTGATATAGCTTTGGGAAATATCGCCTAAGCTACTATCTTGAGTAACTTATCACTAGTACATTAGGAATATTTTAAGAACTAGGTATATTGTTTTGTAAGCTTCCACTGATAATAGACATCAAAATTGATCATTTATAAAACTGTCTCTATAGCACTACAATGTACTAGTAACTTAGGTAGGTACCGGTACCTAACATTTTTTGTTTAGAAAAGATTTACAATTTCGTTTTTTGTATCATCCTTATATATAATACGTGAAGGCGATTTCTATGAAACACTACTCCTCCGTTAATAATGGACAGATTTTTACAAACGATGTGTCAAAATTAAGTATTTTTTGTGTAGACACCCCCTTTCAGCGATTCCTAATATAAGTCCTCGGGCTTTGCCCCACAGGCCATCAAAATTCCAATGTGTTTCTTATGAAGAAAAGATTTTGTTTACTTATACAGACAAATAATTTGTATTAATTACAGCTGTTCATAGTAAATACACACAAGAGCGTTCGTTTTCAGTTTCGAAAGCTGGTATGGAGTGATTGATTACTTTATCTTTGAGTTTACTCTTTTAGGTCATCGGAAATAATTATGACTGTTATTCGTTTTGAAATAACACCTGTAATACTTTGCGATTGCTCAAATTCAAGTAACAGGTACACTAGTCTTTTCAGATTTCAGATAGAATAGGTGTACTGGTAGTATTTTATAAATTTGTTTATCAGGAAAATGCTATGTATATAGGTATCCTTTTCATAGCTTCTCATGCTTTAAATAGCCTAGATGAAATATTTACTTATAGATGATTTGTTATAAAAAAGGTGAGGTCCATTTTTAAATAGATAAAATACACTTCCTGTCCCAACATGTGATAAGTTATGAAATATTTACTTTAAAATTGCTTGGTTAGGAAAATAAAAAATGTCTTTTTGTGCTGGAATAATGATAAAAGATGTGGTTTAGTAATTTCCTTATATCAAGTTAAAAAATATTAAAACTCAAAATATCAAAATACTTACCCTAAATGTTGCTTTAATGAATTTCTTATGTTTCTTTAATTAGTTCAAAGGCTGACAAATTTATTTTGAATAGCAAATGAGTATTTAATAATTTAAAGAACCATAGGTTAAACACTCAAAATAAGGAAAATATAATTTTTTCGTAACAATGATGGTTAAAAAATAAGTCGATAGATTCAGTAGTAATGCATTGCATTATATAACTAAAGTCAACAAGATAACCATGCATACAGGGTGTCCCATAACACCCGGCCGGCTTCTATAGCTCCAATATGAAAGCAATGTAGAAACCTAATTGCAACTGGAACCCCTTATTTTGACCCCAAGGAATTCAGCAAAATTATTTTTAAACACAAAAAGCAACCCAAAGGGCAGATTTTGGGGGGTGGGGGTGGTTTTTGGGAATTTTCAAAGGTAAAGGGGGGTTCAAATTTTGATAACACTTTAATTTGCTGAATGAGCTTTCAAAAAAACTCTGGTTTCAACCATTTGCTAACTTTATTACTTAGCCTATGCCACGCATTTTCAAAGTTTTTGAAATTCAAAAGCTGTTATCTCATAGATTTTTAATGGGAACATGTGTTTCATTACAAACCACATTGTAGCCTCCCATAAAATTAGCTACAATATTTGCATTTAATGTTTTTTGGTATCTTTATTGGTTAAAGAGCTGTAGCGAAATTAGTGTAATTTAATGTTATATTAAATGGTAATTTATTCAAAGTGTTTGCTGTTGTAAATGTACACGTCTAGGTCTCGATTAAAACTAATTAATATCTAAAAATTAAAATACGATTCATAGAAAGGTAAGAACACACCTGCAAATATAGCTTTAGGTGGTTTGATACAAGAGATGTTTATTTTTAAATGAAAACCCAGATATCAGCAATAGTGTCTGGATTTATTTGTTTAAAAAGGAAGTTTTTTAAGGTTCGACATAAATAAAGGCTAATATAATGCAAGATGAGTAAATTAGTCTTTTTGGTTACCATTACGCTGACAAAACATGTGCAGGCACTACCAATTCTAAGAATCTTTCAAAAAATTATGTGACATTCTATATTTGCTGTGAACGTTAATTTTGCAAATTTACTTAAATTTAATTGTTATGCTCTACAATACATAATAATTTTCCCTTGTGAATGTAAATAATAAATTCATTTTTAAAAACAGTACCGTAGTATTTAAGTCAGTACCGGTATCAATTTTACAGAATATTAGTGTAAACAACAAGAATTCAATGATTTTACTACCTATTTCTATTTTTGTAAAATTTCTTATACAAAATTAATATCAGTATTGTGCATCAAGGTAACAAAGTGGAAATAAAACAGGGCTCAACTCTTCTATGGCTTTGATCATTCAGAAAACCTTTCCACCAGATTAAATTTTGTTTATCTAAAAAATTTGAGCCACCTGAATTTTTATTTTGTACACTAATAACACACTTGCATTTGAGTGAGTGTAATTTTGTATTAAGTATCATTAGGGTACGGTAGGTATTCTTATGTAATTGATCCAAGTGAAAAATTATTAGATTTGAAAACATATCAACTAGAATCATAAGTTACAATTTCATTTTTAATTCAGCATTAACTTTTATAATTCAAATACCAATGTTTAAACCTTTTTTACAATCTAGGACACCACACTTGTTTGTTACACAATGTTTACTATCTTTATTTATCTCATTGTTTTCTAATGGAAGTTTTTTGGTGAAGATAAAAAGGACAATGGCTTTTAAACACAGAATGAATCATGATCCCAATCTAGTATAAACAGTCCTAAATTTAAAATTTCAATAGGGGGTAATTTATTTATTGTTTGATTGGATAAACTAGGTGCAGATGCATGCAGTTTTTATTAGAGTCAATAATTGATAGATAATTTTACACTTTGCTGTCTAGCCTAATTCTGGTGGATTCTTAAACAAAAAAACTATTATTGAATAGGGTTATATTTTTTGTCTTCTAGATATTGATTGAGTTTCATGTATGAATGTTTGCTCTGCAAAGTCTTCACCTAGCCTATATATTCATTTAGCCTATAAGGGTACTACAATTTTGAATGGCATGTAAAAAATTCCTGTTGGAATCTTTTAGCATTCATAGTTTTTAAGTCTCAAATCTTCCTATGCTAGACCTTTTATTTTTTAATGTATAGGTACCGTGAGAGGTGTTTCTCGTAGGTAGGCCAATTGGCAACCCACTTTAACTTTACATTCCTACATTTCTAAATTGCATTTTTAACCATGGTTATGGTATGTCTCCGATAAGAAAGTAGACCAAAGTAACGTTAGAGAATACTGTATTATTAATGTTTAACTAGATTAGAACCCTGGGTTTCGTTCACTTTTACACAAAGTTCATTACATTTTATCTCTAAGACTAGGTATAGACTAAAAGACAATTTTCAGCCATTGATTCTTCTTTGTCATGTTGAATTTTGACATAGGATAATACAAGTTAGGCCTACCTACCAAGTAGATGAACTTTAAGTTAGTAGGTTCACACAATACATAACTTAACTTAGCTTACCTAAGTTAATGTATATAGCCTAGCCTATCTGTAATCACCAATTTTTATTGAAATTAAACGAATTTCTTTAAAGCTAACTACAAATATTCTATAATTTTACAGTAATTTGTTCAATTAAATTGGGAAAATGGTAATAAATCAAGCGTCTGCCAACATCATGATAATGTTTAGTGATGACGATGGAAGGTGAGCAGACGACAGCTTGTAACTACTGATAACGATACAGTCACAGGTAGGCTAGACCTAATGTCAATAACTATGCCAGGTGCGCGAGCTGGCAGCAGTTCCGCATTAACCTAGAGTAAAAAGACAAATACATACTTTACAGTAACACTTAAGTCTATCACTGAAAATTATACGTTTTTACCTACTGAAAGGTAATTTTGATGGCCTATGTCTTACCTTAGTAACTTGGAAGTTATCCGGGCGTAGTGTTTCAACAATCTCCTGTTCTGGCCGAGGCTGTTGGCTGACAGATGACCGCAAACCGTCTAACACGCGTTGGAACGTAAACTTCTTCATTTCTTTTTCACTAATTTACATATATCCATTTAATTACAACAAGAACATGACAAACGGTGCCTCGTCACCACATACTAAAATACACAACAACTCGATTCAGTCGTCTGCTGCTGATCGCAAATACTGCAGCGGGGAATGCTGGGAATGCACAGTCAGTGGGCAAAATTCTACTGCGACTGTCACAACTCACATTTTTTAAATTCTCATTTAAACAGCAAAGGACCGAATTATAGAAGACACAAACAACAATTTTACGTAAATTATACGCTTTTAAGTACAAATTACAAACTATTTCTTTTAAGAAACGCTGCTACTAACCATTTTGTCCCAAAATTGATGGATCAATACCGAGCAACCAGCTGTGCTAAACAGCTGTTTTCGTAAACACTGTCAAGAGCAAGAGTAAACATAAGAAGACATAAGTTAAGTTGTGCAATTGTGTGATACTGCTATTTATTTACGCTTAATATTCTGTCGTTTGTTTGACATATTAATTTTGTCAAACACTACAAAAATGATTTTAAAATTTGGACAACAGCTGGGAAAAGCTTATAGTGTAGTTTCAGTGATTGGGACTGCACATAAAAACAAATTGAGGTTAGTTTCCATAACCTAACTTTCTTATACATCTTTCAATAAAGGCCAACTCAATTAACACCTCTAAAGACATACATATATTATAATACATAACTTAGTATGATCCAGGTAATTTTATAACTCTATCCCCATCCAGGAATAAACATTGTTTTTATCCCCCACAATAGGCTACAGTACCTACCAAACCTATCCTTCATGAGTTAGGCTAAGTTAAGGTTCATGTTTTTACAGAGAGCCTCCTATTTGACCTACTAGGCCTAATCCAATATTAGGCTGCACTTTACTTGACGTCCTACACTCATTCAAATGAAAATATCGATCGATATATCGATTAATCGATTGCTTCATTCGATATATCGTTTGGTTAGTTAGGTAAGGTTAACCTAACCTAACTAACCAAACGATATATCGAATGAAAATATCGAATCGAAAAAACAATCGAATGAGTGTAGGACGTCAAGTAAAGTGCAGCCTATTATTCTAATAATTCTGAGATCTAAATCAACAAATAAGGTGTAGGTTGCATGAGGGTTGATCTATAATTTATCGATGCGTCAGTTGGTATTATATTAAGATTGTCACATAACTTAAGTTATGGTTTGTCGCTTTCAGCTTCAGCTTCAGCTTCAACACAGAAGATTGTTGGGTGCCAGGAACCCAACAATTATTAAAGAACCAACAGAATTCTTAAGTTAACTGAAGGATTATTAAACTTAACAGGATCTGTGTGTGTTACTTAGCCTAACCCAAAAGAGATAAGTAAAGCGGTGGAAAGTGGTTCTTTACTGAAAATTCAATTATTAACGGATACATTAGGCCTACCCCAAAAAGGCCTATATGGCTTAACGCTAACCTATCATAAAGTGATAAAACACATTGCTGGCAATAGACCTTAATATAATGTAGGTAGTTTAAAATCATATGAGCAGAAAATACTCATTGTTCATCGATTGCTGAGGAGGCTGGACCCCATTAGGTAGACATTACACAGGACAGCTAACTTATTCGGTAGCCACTGTATTGTATCCATTTTGTAAACCGGTCTAAACTGTTGGGAAATAAATAAAAAAAAGACATCTTGGATCCCCGGAATAAGTCTTAACTTATGAGGGTTTACAATATTACTTAGTAGGTAGGCCCTAAATCAGTAAGTTAGTAACTTAGATAACAAATTAGCTTTCGTAAAACAAACCCAAACCATTACCAGTAGGCTACCACAATCCTCCCATTGTGATTGTTACCAATTTGAATGTGGGAGGGCGGCTTCTTTTAAAGTTGTGTAAAAGAATATATTTAAACCTGTTTATATTTAATAAGTAATTTTCGTTCTTTTGCAGGTATATTGCTGCCGCTATGTTTGGTACTGGTTTTTTATTATATGAAACCTCAAAACATAAGGTAGAAATGTCAAGTTCAAAAATTAACTTATCAGATTTCATGGCAGCACCTATTACTGATGTAGCCACTTTAGAAAAAAATAGTTCTGATATGAAAGCCAGGATGGAACTCCTCATCATGAAAATTCAAGTAGGTTTCTATGTTAAGTGTAATGTTGCACGTTTGCCTTTAAATAGTTCACTTAGCGATACTGGGATTTGCAGATGAAATAGGTTTAAGTGAATTTTCCATATGAGGCCAAAAACACCCTCCGTTCAAATTCATATACATATATGTGTCTGTTAGTGCGATAACTTAACTCAAGCAAAAATTATCAGATTTTGATTAAATATGGTACAAACGTGTAAACCTACGTTTATTCAAACGAGTTTGCAAACCAGCATGATCGGACTATAGGAACGGGGTTTTATAGGGGCTTTTGGAGAGATTTTAATAATATAAGATAAGTAATTAGACAGCATTAAGTTATGAAGAAGCTCAAAATCTTATTCGCTTTTAGTTACTAAAAACCTGTGTTGTTGCCAGGCTGACTTCTGTCGGGCCTTGGAAGCTCAGGAGGACGGAGAGGCTAAGTTCCTGGTGGATCGCTGGGAGAGGCCGGAAGGTGGAGGGGGAATCACCTGTGTCCTGCAGGACGGACGAGTGCTAGAGAAAGCTGGGGTAAACATCTCGGTTGTGTCTGGAACACTGCCGGCTGCTGCGGTAGCTCAAATGAGGGCTAGGTTAGTTTTATCTTGCAGTTTTGTCTTTGCCAGCATAGTATGGTCTTTATTGCAGGGTAATATTGTAGGCTAGTTTAGTAAAACTAAACTGTAATATGAAACATTCACCAGAAAAATCACATTGAACAATGTATTGCTAATATTACTGCACTCAATTGTAAAGCAAATAGAGAGGTTGCAGCTTGGATATTTTAAAGAAATTATTTGTTAAAGTATCACTGGACGGTTATTAAAATATTTATTTGAATGCTAGACCTTTTAGGCCTACTGATTTTATTGCACATCGTGAAACACAATAAAGCGTTGTGTAATACTCTTTTCTTACTCCTAACTTACATGAAACAGGTATTTGCAAATGCGCGTTCCCCAATCAACTTGCTAATTCACGACTAGTGTGGATGGGTGTTTGTCTACATGTCATTGTGACGGTTTTTATGTGTGGGCACCTCTACTCAGAAATCAACATATATCAACTTAAAAGTAGACTGCCACAAGTCAAATATTCGATACTCTGCAAAATCGTCCAGTAAATCCAAACAAAGCCTTGAAATAAATCTTGCTGATATTGACGCTCTGTCCAGGCCTGCAATTTTGGAAGACACTATGGGCCCTAGAAATACTTTGGTCCCTTCCACTGCCGAGGAATTTTTCTCGTGCCCCCAAACAACACTGAAACCTCTGGCTCCCCTGATTGGACCTCTGGCCCCCTCTGGCTGTTGACATTTATTCAAGTGACTCTTGCTCTGTCAAAGTAACACTAACATTTCTGTATTCTTGGCACGATTCAGGACAAAACATCTGAATGCAACATTGATACTGCAGCTTGTTTATAAACTACTTGTTTGTAGAGGCAAGAAGTTCAAGGAGGGGGAGAAGCTTCCGTTTTTTGCGGCTGGAGTGAGCTCTGTTATCCATCCTCGCAACCCGATGATCCCTACTGTACACTTCAACTATCGCTACTTTGAGGTCCAAGAATCCGACAATACTGTGCAGGTGGGTTAATTAAGAGTAGGCCTACATCATGAATATTTATAAACTGTTAAGTAATATTACACTCTGTGTCCTCCTAAAAATTAGTTGAGACTTATCTCTCTTTATCTCTCACTGCAGTGGGGGAAGGATTAAAAAATGTAATACAGATGACTTCCCCTTAAAATCAACAGGTAAATTCTAACTAGGCCTATTAGTGAAAAAGAGAAATGAGTTATTTGTGAAATATTTCCTGTTCTTCAAACTTATTTTTCAATAGGAATAAAACCTTTGCTCCCTAACCTACAAATGAAAAATATTATAAGAACTGGTATTGCTAACGATGTTTTATTTAACTGGCAATTTGATGATCAGTATTACAAAGTAGGACTACTACTTGTATGTTTATTAACAATAATTTTTCCTCTCATAACTTAAACTGTGTCGTTTCAGTGGTGGTTTGGTGGAGGAACAGACTTGACTCCGTATTATCTAAATGAAGAAGACGCCAAGCACTTCCACGGGGAGTTGAAGAAGGCTTGTGATAGGCACGACAAAAGTTATTACGCCCGATTCAAAAAGTGGTGTGACGATTACTTCAATATATCACACAGAGGTTGGCAGTATTATTTTATTTAGTTTTATTGTTGTTTTATACTAGATTGTTTATTTATTTCTCTAAAAGTTCTTTGTTTCCTTTGATTTTGGGTATTTTAGTGAAGCACCTGTTTGCCAGTTATTTTGTAGTGTTGAAATATTCTTGACGGATTACAAAATCTCTAAGATCACCTCAATAGTACAATTTTAGTTTCTATTACTCAATAACCTCCTTTCAGTAACAATATATTATAAGAGGTGTTAAATTTCCTTTTAGTACTGCTAAAGTGATCCTGTATATTCCTTATGGATTAAGCGTTTTGAGGACTTAGTCCTTATCTTGTACAAGAACATTAAAACTGTCCCTTAGAAAAGGTTGTCAAAAGTTTATATTAGAAACAATAACTCATATTATATAGGCTACAAACGGAGACATTTACACGATACAAAAAAGTGTAGGCCTACAGACAAAATTTTACAATATATGACTGTGTGCGCGCAGTTACAGGTGAAGGTCATGACTGCGATGCGGAAGATGGTCGGGTGGTAAATATGAACAATATATACTCTAAAAACATAAATGTTGGCTTTCCTCAGTAGTCAGTGCTAACAAAGGTAGCTAATACACAATTTGTATATTTCTTTAATAATAAAAAAATGATATTATGCAGAATCTTTAAATGTACCTAGTCAATCTTCAAATTTTTCAGGGGAAAGGCGAGGAGTAGGAGGGATATTCTTTGACGATTTGGACTCGCCTTCACAAGAAAAAGCATTTCAATTTGTGAAATCATGTGCTGAAGCTGTCACACCTTCTTATCTACCTTTGGGTATGTTTAATGTTATCAATTTTTGTGTGTGTGTTTTTTTATGTGAATTAGAATGCATTCTTTCTCACCACTTACATAGCGGGCATGGCAATTGTTACAGCTTTTTTGATGAAATTTGGTTTGAAGGTGTAAGGCGGGATAAACTTGAATGAGTTCGCGATCCAACATGATCGGACCATGGGAACAGGGTTTTATGGGGGGTTTTATGGGGTAAAAATTGGGTTTTCTCACTTTTTACCCTCAAAACACAAAATTTCCCAATTTTTCTCTAAACCTTCTTAAAGAGCTTAAAAAAACAAACAATTCAGTATATCAAAGTGTTTTTGTACGGTTATTAGTTACGGAGAAAACTAAAAAAATGGTAAATTTAAAATTCCCATGTTATTCTTATGGAGAATATTGTAAAATGTTGTAGTTTGCTTGTTTATGGATATATTTTGATCAAACTTGGCAAATTTATTTATTTTATAGTAAGCTATCAATATTTTACTAAAAACACACTACTTTATTAGTTTCCTTGTAGCAGCAAACCTAGGTACTCGTTAAACCTAAATGTTATTTAAATAGATCAATTGAAAATCAATTCGGCCAAATGGAAATTCGCTTAGACGGCAGGTTTGCTGCGGCGGGGGTATTTGTATTTTGGACACTCCTCTAAGTTCACTCACAGACTAAATATAATCCCAAGTGAACATAACTCCAACATTGAAATATTCCAAACACTCGGTACTCATAGCTAAACTTTTGCAAGTCATCACGTATCGTAGCAGGTACAGTCAATGCAACAAGTGAGAGGCAGACTATATCTGCCAGGTGCCACTTTGAACAGCGATGTAGAATCCTCTCTTTTATGGCACAAATCAAAAGTGTGCATCTAAATCTGACTGTACCGGTACTGCTCCGAAATTTAGGTACTTGGAATCATTTATGTAGTCAGCACTTGAATTTTTCATCGCTTTGAAAAGTGAAGTTTGATGTCTTGAAAATAGGAGCACTTCAAATTGAAAATGTAATTTATTGGTTTACTGGAAATCTTTTTCCTCTAAATTATGAACCCTGCCTAGTTACTTATGACTGTACAGTAGAACCTATGGATTGATAACAAGACCCTCGATAACAAGTCCAAGTCACCCTTGATAACAAGTGTCGTTTTCAAATACTCTTAACTTTTGATTAGCCCTAATCACATTCTTGCAGACCTCAATAATAAGACAACCTTGATTAAAAGTCTTATTTACTAAGACGCATGAGAGACCTGTTAATAAGGTAGAGACTGTATAAATCTTGAACATATTTGTTTCTTAAAAGGTGTTAACCGAGTAGTTAAACCAACTGTCACCGATCTAATGGCTACAATGTTTGCATCTATATACAAATTCAAATGTTTATTATTAGAAGCATCTTGGATGATTTTATTTTAGTAGAGTTATTTTTGTAATTTATCTACAAATTTCATTTTTAATGTAGTACACTTTTTGAAACAACCAGTAATTATTCATCATAACTTTAAAATACTTCCCTCTACAGTGAAGAAGCACAAGAACGATGGATACGGTTACGCGGAGCGCCAGTGGCAGTTGTTGCGCCGTGGCCGCTACGTCGAGTTTAACCTTATCTACGACCGAGGCACCAAGTTCGGCCTCTACACTCCGGGCGCCAGATACGAGAGCATCCTCATGTCTTTACCACTTAATGCTGTAAGTATAATACTGTGCAGACATTGTACAAAGTGCAACAATCAAGTCATCCAACCTTGACAATGAAAATACTGCATTACAAAGTTACAACTATAGAAATTATATTACAGAGTTTCACATTATACTATTTCTATTGTTAATATAAGAATTTTGCCACCTTATTACAATTGAAAGCAGGTATATCCAAAACTATTTCTCATAAAAAGTACAGTAGTCTTAAACAAATTATATAATGTGGCTTTAAGAGCATATTGTTTAGTGTGTTCTATTGTTACTTTTGTTTTGAGGGATGGTTTAAACCCACCTGAGAACCATAACTCAGATCATTAAAAACAAAATGGCTGCGATTATAATGTAAAATAATAACGTACATCTTATGTTCTCTATCATTGCAAAATGACACTTGAAAACTGAAAGCACAAAATTTTTGGTACTCTTCTGTGGTAATGACTACATCAGAATATTTTATATCCACCACACCAGGTTAGGTTAGGTTATTTGTACGTAGCCTACATTAACTTTTTCCGGTAAATAAATATTTGATTCCAAGATGGAAGATTACCAGATTTTTATTTAAAAATATATATACCCATTCCATTTTATAGGTTTAGTGTAGGCCTTAACTGTTCTCAATTTTTTTTTAATTTTTTTTTATTTTAATTTAATAATTTTATTTTATTTATACTATTTTCCTGAGACCAAATTAAAATAGTTTTAGTTTATGTATTAAAATCTGTCCTAAAACTCCCTAGTTTTATTTGCAGCATCCCTAGTTGTATACTTTCAGTAAAAAATTTATTTTATTGACCCCCATTTTACAGTTTCCAAAATTTCTAATTTTTTTCAGAAATGGGAGTACATGCACATCCCTGACCCAAACAGCAAAGAGGGTAAGTTAGTTGAAGTACTGAAGAACCCACGAGACTGGTTGGGTATCGGAGAATCTACTAGATCAGCTGGTTAAGATTGAGATCGACATGCCATCTGATTTAGATCAATAGATTAAGATGAAAACTGTACAGTATGAAACAAATTTTATTACTTCCGGGGCCGAGATTTATTTTCTCAGAATCTTTTCTCAAGTGCCCAAACATGTACAACATTAGCAATATATTTGCAAACTCAATGCATCTTTGTTTTTATCATAAATATTAACCCTCCTGGTGTCAGTTATTTTGTGTGTGGTGTCGGTCGATTTTTGGACAAGATCTTGCAGTGTGTCTGTGTTCGGTATTCATATTTTTAGAGTATTTAGAAATTAATCATTATGTTAATTAAGTCACTGGTTAATTAATCATGCTAATGTGTATATAAATCACCACATTTATTGTAATATTATTTAGTCTCAGTAACAATTTATTGTAAATAGACTCCCGCTTTCAATATTCAAATGAGATTGCTAAGCCTGCTCGAATTTCCCGCCACAGTAAGGCCTATTTTCCTGTACTACATACCCATGAATCACCTGACGCCGTGTTTGCTTCAATCGCATTTCCTATTGGCCATCGAATTCCTAGACCCCTCTAAACCGCAATTGCATTTTTCAAAGTGTGAAGCCGGCGATCGGCGTCTGTCTGTCCACGGTCGGCGTCCATAACTCACGGTGTATTCCGTTTCTCGTATCTCGGGACATTAATTGCCCATTTTACCTCTCTTAAACGTATTTTTAGGCTATAGATTAATTATATCTGGCCTCCCTCTCCTCTATAGTACATTTAACTATATATACATTTTAATTTCCCCCTTTTGTTTGTGATTAAATTACTTAAATTGTGATCTAGTGCTTTCAGACTCTTCAAACCTCAAGACAGTGTGTGCGCGTCCGTGTATTACTTCTAGACTTTCCGTACGTTTTCACCGTGACTTCCGCGTATTAGTGAGCTCTTTGTGATTATGAACTTGGGTGCGTTGCGTACTACAAAATTCTACAAAACAGAAGCACTCGGTCTAAGGACTCCGCCATCCGCCATCGCTCCACCATAGACGACGCCGCTGCCATACTCTCCACCTTTGGACAATTGGACTCAAGGTACAACCTTAAAGTTTTATGTGTGTTTTAATTAGACTCTAAAACTAATCTCATTTGCCCCTCACAAGACATTTTATTCCATCTCGGGACCTCAGTGCCCTTCAAATTGCAGATTCGCCATTTTCTCTAATTTAATTATTTTTCTCTTGAACTATTAATTAGTTCTGGTCCTTCGAGTTATTAATTATTTTCATTTTCACCCATTACGCCCCCAACATTTGGTCCTTCGAGCCGGATTCATTGTCTAAAGTCCTGTGGTAATTAATTTCAGCCAATTTTCATCATCAACCATATTTTTAGCGATCTGCAATTTTCAATTTTCGCCATATTGGTAAAATATCGGCTCGCGTTCGTTCCGTTCGTGGGCGTGGTTTAGCAATCTCTCTCCACTCGCGCGTCTGCGCAGGTCACAATCATGTACAATTTGCTGTTCTCTCTAGTAGTAGACAATTTTTCCCTACTTGGCTTTTTTATCCCGAAAACGGGATTTAGTTTTAGTTGCGGGATTTAGTCGCGTGCAGACGGCCGACACTAGTAGCAGACGCATATCTCACACTCACTGTACAGCGTTTGTTGTTGTTTACATTTTCTCATTTAAGGTGTATTGTGTAATAAGGTTGATTGATATTATTAATAACCAACTATTAGGTTATTATTAGGTATTTACTATTATTCTTTGAATCAATATTGCTCTTTTGAATATCATACTAAATAAACAATAATTTGTCATTGTTATTTAACATTGTTTATGCTTTCTGAATTTTGATTTTAAATGAAGTAAAGTTAAATTAGTTCATCTCTGTAATTTTGGTTGACAAACGTGCGATATTATATTTAAGGTAATTTTATCTTGTCAATTAACATTTTAATAAATAGTTCAAAATAACCGTTTTTACTGGTTCTTATTACTAGTGTTGTACATATAAACAAAACTGTTAGCTAGCGTATTTGTATTGTGATTCATATTTCATTGATGGTTATAATTTTATGTTCCTTTCTCATTTATTAGGGTAATAACTTACTCTTTATGTTGCAATTCTTGTTTACTAAGGATTATTCTACACTGTTTCATTAATGAGGCCTACTCTCATTAAACTTATTTAGATCCATTTATTATTTTTGTAAATAACGGTGAACTTTCATGTGACTCATTCATTTGTTCTATCATATCTCTTGTTTTATTGTGCATTATTATTACCGTACTTGAATACTTTCAACTAAGCTCAATTGTTGATTTATGGTTTGAAAATCGAATTAAACCTGCCACACTCATTTAAAAATATTTTATTGCTATTTAACGTGTTGATAACTTAGTGTTTTTCACTATTTGCCTCAATTAAGCTACAAAGTAGGTGGATATATGTTTTAGATATTTATAATATTTTATCTCTATATTATTCAGCGGACAATTAATTACTACATTGTTAAGCTAATACCATTCATAGGCCTAGCTACACGCCTTTTGTGTACCCACAACTTCCATTTTCGTGTGAATACTTTCAAGTGAACACTTCACAATGCCTCCTAAAGCATCTGATTTTAAGTCCGCAATCTACACCCGTTCTACGGCGCTGATTAAATCACGTTTTGAAAAACTTAAGGCTACAGTAGATGAATTATCAACTCAAATCGACCCTCTAACACCATTACAACTTAAGAAATTATCCGCTTACGCGTTGGAAATAAAAAAGAAACGCAGTGAATTTGAAAATAACCTTCAACGTGCCTTCGTTCTGGAAGATGAAGGGATCGATGATAAGACTCTTTCCAATGATCAAGATGCTATTGAAGACATGTTCTCTCACATTCAAGCTACGATTGAAACTCTGGTTCCCTCAGAACCACCAAAAACCCCTTCCGCGTTCAGTGAATCGTTTTCTGTTTCAGAAACTCATCCAAGCTCACAAGTACGATTACCTAAACTGGACTTACAAAAATTCTCTGGCGATCCATTAACGTGGACAAGTTTTATCAATCTTTTTGACACTGCAATCCACCGTAATGCTTCATTATCCTCTGTTATGAAATTCCAGTACTTACTCTCTGTCTTAAATGGAGAGCCTCTCAATTTAATAAGGAGTTTAAATCTCACCGCTCCTAATTATCTAGTCGCCTATGAATTGTTACGTGACAGATATCACAACAATCGAAGATTGCAATCATTGCATCTTAACCAATTGTTGGACCTGCCAAACATTACGGCAACTTCACTCAAAGGTTTGCGCCAATTTGTAAACCTGTTTACGGAACACACACAAGCTCTTAAGGCATTAAATTGTGACGTTAGTGACAACAACCCCCTATTGTCCGCACTCCTTTTGCGTAAAATGGACCAGGAACTACGTAAAAAACTTGAATCGTTCCGTTCCAGTCAAACCGAAGATCCAGTTACTCATTCATTACCAGAAATTGGTGAAATAATAAAATTTCTTAACCAAGAATGTTCGCAGACAGAAGATGCTAACATACATAACATGTCATCGGCCCACAGAAGCGTTCAACCTTCACCTCACAAAACCATACCAAAAAAGGTGCATTTCCGGTCTGACGTAGGCCTAGCCATGGTAGCTACTCCGAGATCTAATGCTCCCCCCTCTCATAGCTCTCAGATTAAAAATAGTCCTGTCTATAACGAATGTTTTGTTTGTAACAAAAATTATCACAAAGTTTACACTTGTGACGTATTTCAAAATAAATCTCCTCGAGAGCGACACGCCATTGTTAAAAAACATAATCGTTGTTTTTCTTGCTTGGGTGAACATAGCTCCAAAGAATGCCGCTCTCAGTTCACTTGTCGCACATGTAAACAGCGACACCACTCTCTCTTACACCTTGGTGATAATAATCAAACCTCTCAGATGTCTTTTCGACCTCAAGGTCAAAAAACTTCCCCGACCACTTCAGGTCCATCTCACACTCAGACTGGTGATGTTAATTCACAAGCCTCTATCTCCGCCACTGTCGCGGATGTAAGCAATTATTCTGCCCAAAATAACTCATGTACGACTTCGGGTAATTATACTGTATTACTCGGCACCGCCTTGGTCAAGTTGACTTCCCCTCAGGGTATCTCTCATGTGTTTCGTGCTCTACTAGATACTGGCAGTATGTGTGATCTGCTCTCAGAACGCGCTGCGAATCTCCTGAATATAAAACGCCAGTCTTCTCAACTCAAAATATCTGGTCTTTCTCAAATGGCTTCCTGTACTAAAGGGTCAACTTACTTGAATCTTGAAACTCTCTCAGGTCGAGTAATAGCCACTGACCATCAATTCCATATTCTTGATAAGATTTCCGTCGACTTACCTCGCTCCCCTATATCACCGGAAGTGCTAACAAAAATCAAGCCCTATGTTCTAGCTGATCCTACTTTTCACTTGCCTGGTGGCATTGACGTGCTTATAGGTAGTTCTCTGCTACCCCTCCTCTGGACTCATGAAAGTTACTCCCTCGGCACGCACATGCCTCATGTGATAGGTACTCATCTTGGCTTTATTCTGATGGGTAAAGCTCCCTGTGCAACTAACTCGGAACCCGTGTCAGGTTTTGCGATCTCTCTTCTCTCTGTTAGTGATAATTCACTACACTCTTCCCTGCAACGTTTTTGGCAACAGGAGGAACCCCCTCACTTTCAGGTTAAGTCACAGGAAGAGCTTCTTTGTGATGAATACTATAAAAAATCACACTCTCGTGATCAATCAGGTCGTTATGTTGTGCGACTTCCGTTCAAGACGGACCCCTCCATTCTAGGCCAATCTAGGCCCATTGCTGAAAAGCGCTTGTTGTCTCTTGAGCAGAAATTTAAAGCTCAACCCCATTTTTCACACTTGTATAAGACGTTCATGTCTGAATATCAAACTCTCGGCCATATGACAAAACTAGATTTTGTTGAAGACATACACCCACACTACTTCCTACCTCATCATGGGGTACTGAAGGACTCTAGCACGACCAATTTAAGGACAGTGTTTGACGCCAGTAGCAAAACCAGTTCCGGTCACTCCTTAAACGATATTCTTTTGACAGGACGTAAATTACAAACTGACATTTGTGACGTAATTTTGAACTTCCGCTCTCATAAAATTGTGTTTTCATGTGACATTCGGCAAATGTACCGCCAAATACAAGTGCACCCTGACGATCAAAAGTTTCAACTGATTCTGTGGCGTGACGACCCTTCAAAGGAAATCTCTACGTTTCAACTTACTACCGTCACCTACGGCATGAACAGCTCCCCCTACCTTGCTATTAAAACTTTAATGCAGTTAGCGGAAGACGAAGGTGATGCCTTCCCTCAGGCTTCTCACTCTCTACGTCATCACACCTACGTGGACGACATTATCACGGGTGCTGACTCCGTTGAGGCTGCTCTTGAACTACAGGACCAACTTATCCAACTTCTACATC